CTACACGCTGCACCTGCCACGAAATCTGCACATCGAGGGTCACAGAGTGCTGTGCCTGCCACGAAATCTGCAAACTCGACGATCACCACCATGTCCAAAGTGCTACACCTGCCACGAACACTGCATTTCGAAGTAAAACAGCTCCGATCCGTTGCACCTGTCACGAAAAGTCGACTTTGGAGCACCAAAACACGAGGTTTCCCTTGCGCCTGCCACGAAAAGTCACGACCATGTGCGAAAATGCGCACGGCACCACAACGAGAGCGCAGTCGCTTGAAGCACCCGCCGCGGCCACCCAGATTCTGCGACCCTGCGCAGTCGAAATGCACATGGACAATGTCGAGAGGCATGAATGTACTGTAAATAGCAGCGAATCAGCCGCACACGCCCGCGCGCTTCAGCGATCTAAGCATCAGCTGCTTTTCTCCTACCGTAAGAACCCCTCAGTGTGCCCAGACCGTTTGGGGAAATATTCAAACTATTTTTGTAGTGGCTTTTGCTGAGAAGGTGTGGACCTTGCATTGGTCGTCTCCACCAAGTTGGCAGGTTCTAGCTATCTTCATAAGCACGGTTGGCTGATTCTGAGCGCGGAGGCTATGTGGAAAGTTTTGAGAAGATACTGAAAGGTAGTGAAAAAAGCGTCAAACAGTGTGGTCAGGCATCGCGCAGTCTGGAAGACGAGAAAAATACACAACGCAACTTGAATCAAACAGGTTGGGCGTCGCGCTCACATCTGAGGAGTGGCAAGGGTTGGAGACGGCGGCGCACCGAAGAAATGACGTGTGAAGCCGGTTGGCAAGTGGCTCTATACTTGTATTCCTTGCGCATCGTCTTTCCTTCTACCTGACTGGCATATCTCCACAGAATTCAGCGCTTGTTCTGGAGTGTCAGCAATTGCAAATCACCCTTTCGGTCTCGGACATCTAGCTTGACGGAAGCAAAGCAGCACAAATAGCCGGTCTGTGTGTGTGTCAAACCCTGCGCCGAAGGGTTTTGGACTCACGATGTACCTTCCAACTTCTTTTCCACCAGGGGGGCAGTGAATCTCATTCCATCCACTGCCCAACGAAGACGGTGGTTTGAGATTGTGAACCGAGAAAGGACGCTTTCTCGTGTGCCTGCTGAGTTGTCCACAAGCTGTCACCCCACTTTTCCACGGTTTGCTTCATGGTTCTTCATGCTTCCGCCCCTGAAACCTTGGTTTTGCAGCTGAGTCGCACAGCTCGTTCACTACCGCTGAGCTCTGCAGTCACGCATAAACAGTTTGTTCAGCCTTCAAGTGCACTGACTTTCTCGCCATGCCGTTCCCTCACCATTTTCGACGTGGGAATTGAGTTAACAGCAAACCAATGTCAGAGCGTGAACCGCTCAGCCGTCCCACTTGGGTGCTGGGTGTGATCCCCGTGACAGGGGCGCTGAAGTCATACCGGAAATCATTCTCCCCGCTCATAACTGATTGATCTCCAATGATTCACCTGCTCCACTTCCATAACTGAATTCGCTGCCTTTTGAGCCGCCGGGCTCATACGGTTATCAATTTTGATTACTGAATAGTAGGATTTCACTGCATGTTCCACTGCATGCTCATAGTCCTTTTCGTACGCAGCTGACCTTTGACGTTCAAGTGTACAGTCGACCTGATTACGCTTTCATTTTGTGACCACAGGTTCGTCCACGCATTTGACTCACTTCCTCCAGAATTTTCACTTCATGCCATTTCCTCACTTTTCAGACACGTATTCTGTTTGCACTAGCTGCCGGACCGCTGCGCGGGCGCCATTTTGCAGCTAACTGAGACTGCCGCTGATACAGACACAGCAGCAATGCAATACCCGTGGCCATACCCATACCTGACGCATCAGCCACCTCCCACAACAGCACCGACTTTCCCAATCCCACAGACACAGCCACATTTACCGTCCATGGTTCCCCACATGCCAGCCACTATGCTACATTTTCCACAGCAAACATGGCCACCTATGGCCCAATTTCCTACATCACCACCAGCGTTACCACATGCACCACATCTCCAACCTACCATGCCTTTCCCATACACTTCACCTTGACAGGACTCCATGCCACAAGCTTCTCCAGCAACAGCCTCCCCACACCTAGCACCAACTCCAGTCACTCAGCCATCTCCACAACCGATTCCGCAACCTACACAACCACAATGGGACCCAAACCAAGGGGTCTGGCAACCCTTTTCGGCCTTTCCATCGGTTACACAACCAGGCCAACTCCAGTTGACCACCGCCTCAACACTTTCAGATCCGTCCCAAGCGACCCACACCGGCCCTGCCAATCACCCATACACCCCTACGGGTACGTATGGCCCCATGACCCACGCGGTCCGCACTCAGACTCCCATCCCTACAATCCCTCCCCCTCCCCTCCTCTTTCACCACAGACACAGGCTCATTCACCCGCCACAACGCTTTCCACCACCACCTCCGCCGCCACTGCCAACCGCCGCCCCGGTTACTCCAACGGGGACCAGCTTCAAACACAGCCCAACCCACCCAACTCCGCCTGTACCACCTGCCACAGTGCCATTTCGCAAGCCAACAATCCAGGATTCCTGGCATCCCACGGACCACCATTGGGACTCCAACTCCCTCCACGGTCACCAACTCCACCGCACCACACAACCCTCACAGTGGTCACGTCGGGCGGGCATTTCCGGCCTTCCAACATTCGACGTTTTCCCATGGCTCCTCGCCTACCACGGCACTGCAGACTATACAGCCAGGACGCTCAGCCACGGGAAGTACTGCGGGTTAATCCCAACTCGCGGTATAGCAGAACCAGTCTTTACCACCCACCTGCTCCAAGAGATCCGGGAGAACAGGCTTGACCTAGACGCCATTGCCGAAGCCCTACACACCTCCCAAGCCCGCGAAATTCTAAACAAAACTACACAAGCCCGTGCCTTCCATGCTCCCCTGATCTCACTCCTCATCCAGCAGCTCCAAGCCCATGCCCCAGCCGCCGCCGAAGGTTCCGCCCTTCGCGCCTTGAAGGCCGCTTCCGATGACTTGGCTCGTGCCAAGGAAAAGTTACAAGCCCACGGCATGGAACTCACACCCCACAAAGAAGCTGGCCGCCCTTCTGCCCCCAGTGCCCCGGCCGCTCCAGCCGACCCACCAGCCCACAAGCCACCAGTACTGTCCGACGTCCTTCAACCTCCACATCCTTCCCTCAAGGATGATGTCCCTGACTCTTGGACAGCCCCGGCGATCCACAACTGGATGCGCACATTTGACCCCGCCATCCAAGAAGCTGCAAAAGAAGTGCTGCGCATCTTGCAAACCAACAAAGTTTCCAGTGAGCAGCTCAAGGAAGCAGCCCGCTACGGATTGCCGCTTGGCCGCGTCAACAAGCTGACTATCAAAAGCCTGCAACGCATTGTTAGCATAGGAGCAGCTATTGCCTGCTGACTCTCCATCCACAGCCAGCAACTGCCGAACCCTATACTCACCTCAAGCAACTCTTTGACCTTCACCGAGCCCTCTCCACACTCATACACAAAACCCATGCAATACATAGAACGTGCCGAAGCTATCTTTGCTGCTGGCCTCATCCACCTCACGCTCCTTTTTTGCTATCCGTCTTCCGCGCAACGATCAAAACAGTGGTGCCAACGCTTTAGCCAGCTCCACGTCCTACCACACACTTATCATTACCACAACTTCCTCTCATCCCACTCAGTCTACGTCAAACTCCACTTCAACACCACAGAGCCTCACCGCTGCTACCACTTCTATGTGGGCTCCACAGAGAACACAATCGACGAGCCAAGCTCAAGCAACTCCAAAACAACATCCCAATCTCAGCAGAACTCTCACTGCGCTATTGGCACTCACATGACAATATACACCACTTCACCACCATTCAGCTCTCATCCCACGACAACTACGACCAGGCCTGGATCCGCGAACACCATTTCATTTCCAATTGGATGCCGTCCCTCAACTGGCCCTTTATCTCCCAACACCTCAAGCTCAAGGCTCAGGGCTGGCAATTCACAAAACACCGAGCGCACTTCTATTCACGCCTCGCCACTCGCAAACGACTTTTCCGCCGCTTGCGCCGCAGACAACAAACGATCGGGGAGCCACACATCTTTTTACCTCAACAAAGCATCACGCCCTCACCCTTCTCCGTAACCTCACCAAACACACCATGGCTTCTTTTGAAGCCGCCAAGTATACGCAGTGGCACCCATTCAGACCTCGAGGTTTATGCCGAGCCTTACACATCATCAATAAGGCTCTCCAATACCCCAACCTGACCCCACCAAAACCAAATATTCCACTCACAGTACCTTTCCTTGCCCATCCGGACTTTACAAAACACTGTCAGCAATGGCTCCAAACTACCATCCAACAACACAAGCACTTGGCCACCCCACTCCACCTCCCCACACACCGACTACGCGAAGCAGCCCACAAGACACTCCGGGCACAGCTTCACAATCACCGAGCTTGGGAGGACACGCTCCACACGCCTCCAGACCCATGCGACCTACCGTGTGCATGTTCTCATCTCAGAACTCTTCTCCTCGAGCCATCCACACCTACCATCAACGACCATTACATTCTTACCTTGGACCAGTTGGCACTACCAGCACACCTCCTGGATGCCAATATGATCAGTACCTTTTACCCCAGCAAAGCACGTTACTTTCTCACTTTCCAGACAGCATTCACCAAATGGCTTCGTCTCCAAGGCCTCCCCACATCGCTCAGCCAGCACCTTGAGCCTTTCCTTTCAACACCAATGGCGCCTTCGCATCGCACAACTAAAACAACATCCACGCTTTACAGCTCGTCTTATCAGACAACTTCAGCAACACCTGGGTGACAAGGTCGTGCTCCACCATGCCGACCACGAACTACAGCAGCTCCGCGCGTTTTGCCCTCGCCAATACTTTACTGGAGCGCTCAACACCTGGCAGGCCCCAGAACTTTTCGAACCTCTACCACACCTAACCGCATCCCACATCCACGACCACCTTTCTGCCACCATCCCTCCCACACTGCGTGCTCGCTACAAATGGGGCTTCCGCAAAGACTTCACCATACCATACGGAGTCGTGCACCTGAAAGCCAAGAAGCAATGGCAGAAAGGCCGCGCCATTATCTCATGCTTTCAATCCTTGAGCGGCAATCTTCTCCGTATTACCAGCCAAGCACTTGACATCGTACTCCAACACCTGTTTCCACAACATCCAGGACAACTATCCATCCCACAACTATGGCACCATTTTCATTCCTACCTCCACGCTACCAACGACGACCTTGTCGTCCCACAACACCGCCTCATTGACGCAGTCCACTCTTTGATCCAGCAATGGCAATCTCAGCAGGCCACACATACTTTGACAGTGGACACCAAGGCCACGGGCAATCCTTTCCATCGCTCCCATGTTGGCAGGCATTACACCAAACCTCCCACACAACGCACCATCCATACATCCGACATCACTACCATTGTGGCATTTGCACTCAACACCTGCATTTTCCGGGCGTGCAACAACACATACAAGCAAATTCGAGGAGCTGGGATAGGCTCCCAACTCTCTCCCGCCCTATGCAACGTAGCCATCACCCTGATTGAACATTCTTGGCACCAACTCCATAACAACCTCCTTCAGCACGCAGCTCTCCACTTCACATACTACCGATACGTGGACAACCGTTTCATAGTACACAACGAACACTTACTTCATTCAACATCCAGCAATACAAACCCTGATCCACCACAACTTTTTCGGAGATCCAATCGAATTAGAAACAGTGGAAGACACGCGCCTCCTGGGCTTCAACATCGACCTCACCCAACGCACTATCACCTACATCCAGCCCAACCAGCCCTGGAAAATCAGGCACCTGTGTGTGTCAACCCCTGCGCCGAAGGGTTTTCGACTCACGATGTACCTTCCAACTTCTTTTCCAGCAGGGGGGCAGTGAATCTCATTCCATCCACTGCCCAACGAAGACGGTGGTTTGAGATTGTGAAGCGAGAAAGGACGCTTTCTCGTGTACCTGCTGAGTTGTCCGCAAGCAAGCTGTCACCCCACTTTTCCACGGTTTGCTTCATGGTTCTTCATGCTTCCACCCCTGAAACCTTGGTTTTGCAGCTGAGTCGCACAGCTCGTTCACTACCGCTGAGCTCTGCAGTCACGCATAAACAGTTTGTTCAACCTTCAAGTGCACTGACTTTCTCGCCGCGCCGTTCCCTCACCATTTTCGACCTGGGAATTGAGTTAACAGCAAACCAATGTCAGAGTGTAACTCTTGGACTGACAGGCACCTTTCGGTGTTGCGCAGGGGGGCCCAACGAAGCTGGGATGTCAGGGGATGCATCAAGGGACGCTTGATGTGTACCTGCACGTTGGTTTTGTACTTGTTCCACTGTTAGGAGAACAGGAGGAAATGGTACTCGACACACTTGTGTGTCGGTGCCTTTCCTTCTGTTTTCATCTAGTCAGAATCTAGTCTTCTCTATAGGTTTGCAGGTAGGCCCCCAACCTTGTAACGTGGACCTTCAACCCGAACTTTTTGGCCTCTACCCACTAGCATTGGCCCCTAACTTTGGCTGTCTTGTGTGTCTTGTGTTTCTTGTAACCTGGTAGCACTGGCCTCCAACCTGGTACTATGGCCTCCGACCCACTAGCGATGACCTCCAACTTTGCTGCTTGCTGTCACTTTTGTTTTGCTTGTGCATACTACCCGCCACCTACTAGCGACGGCCTCCAACCTTAGGTCTTGGCCCCAACGGCCTTGCAATGGCCTCCAACCAAAAAGCGATGGCCTTAACCTACTATGCGTCCTGATACCCAGGAACTGGTAACCTAGGCCGGCGTGCGGCGCCGCATTCACATCAGTACGCATTTCTATAATAAGTGTGTGCAAACCCTGGAATCGTGGGTGCGCCTGTTGCTTCTAAATTATTAGTATGCTCACTAAATGTTGTAAGGTGAGCATCAAGGTGAGCTACCAAATTCGGTAGCATTTGTTTTGAGCCTAAAGGTCGACACGCGCGCAAAGTTGAAGACATGTGTGAAGACTCTGGGACATGAAGTGCCTCAGAAGTTCACTCCATTAAGCGCGGGAAAATATGGCCCTACCAGGCTCAAAATCCAAATCGTCTCCGCGTGACCGTATGAGGTACAAAATTCAGGCGCTGCCATCGTCTCGAGGACGTGGCGCCAAATCTAAACAAACAGCCCGGCAGCCATAGATGGGGGCGCAGTGCGTAGAGACAGATCGAGAGTGGCCGTTGGAAGGTTGGTTCTCGGGAAACAGTGGCAGGCAGTCGTGTTTTGAAAGTGCATCACCTTGTAGTTGCAATTTTTTTGGATCGAAACGTCATGACCTGCGCGGGCGCAATTTTGCAAGGAGAACAAATTGCCGGGCAACGCAAGGGCGCGCGCAAATACTATTCGCAGTCCGGTTTGGGAAGGTCGAAATGAAGTAGTTTTGTAAATACCCAGGGCTGCTGAGCAGAAAAGCGATTCGGATTGCAAGGGGTGTTTGCAAGACGAAGATCTTTCAGCCGCAAAACAAGCATCATGAGACGCAAAACATTCACACCGTGGTCTCAGTTTCAACTCATGTCGTTGAAACAGGTCTACGCTTGCCCGTCTGACTGTCTGACACCGGTCACGTTTCCTTTTGGTGCACGTTGCGCTCAGCACTTCACGGCTTCTCCGACGCCGTTGTAGCACCTGCACCTGTCAAACAAATTGCAAGACCAAAAACTCAATAGGACGAAACAAGTCCTTCTCTGCTTCAAGGTTGGTTCGTTCTATTAGTCATCAAGCATTCCTGCTTCATGGTTTCTTCTGGCTGTTTCGGAGACACGCAACATCGGGGGAGGCAGACTTCGCAAATTTCCAGCTAGCCTGGCACTGGGTCCTCAGCGGCGCCCAAAAAGAAAAAAATGAAATTAGAACAAATTCTTTCAATTCTTTCTGGCAATTTTTACCAAAACCGCCTTGTCAGCGGCCACACCAAGCCTTAGGACGCCCAAGACAAACACGCAGGGCAGCGGAACACAGCCTGAAGTAATTCTGCACGGTTCTGATGCTTGCATTGTTCCAATATATACATATAACAGTATGATATGATATGATATGATACGATATGATATGGTAATGTTACTCATGTTACCCCTGCGAGAACAGGGGTTCATGACCTGCTTGGCCAAACCTATGGAACCTGGTTCACAAAAGGAAGCAGGGTTCTCACAGCTTTTCATCTGCGCGCTCAAGGACCCTTCATTGCGGTCTGTGAAATACATTGCACCCTCCCGCCTTTCTTTCAGCCGATTGGTTGCCACGAAAAATCGATTGCTTGTAGAGACGCGGCCCCTTTGGTAAGGATGCCCCTGAAAAGGTGGGCCGGCTTCACCTTGGTGAGGTCAAGTGGTGGAAACGTCAATCCACCTGAACACTCCGTTGAGCTTCCTTCAACCCTCCAAGGTCCATGACTAACCTTGAGATATTGAAGTTTGCAAATAATTCGATCACTTGGGAATTTCTTTTGAAGATATGTTTGTGAAAAAGACCTGAAAACAGCACGATGAACTTTATGCTTTTTGTTGAAAAGTCATTTATGAAACAATTTCAATAGAAGTATGAAAAATATAAAACATTTTATGGTTAATTTAAAGCAAAACAAAAACAAGAAGTCGTAAAAACATCAAAAACATCATACCAAATCGTTAGGAAATCATGAGAACCACGTGTTTTGTATTACTTTTTGACAAAAAATGTGAAATAGATGGGCGTTGATAAACTTTCTTAAAATTTGAAGCTATATATTCTCATCTGCTTTTCACAAATTCAATGTGATGTAATTGTATATTAAGAGCAATAATGTTCACTATATTTGTTCCATGGTTGTTTCAAAAAACACAAGAAAATCAGAAAAGAACCAATAGAAACATATTCTTTTTGCCAAACTTGTAATATCTCAAGGCTAGCCGTTTGTCTTGGGTTGAAGCGAGCGGTCCTTCCTTCATCAGGATGTCATGGCCGCTCTGCAACGAGCTGTGGCTCACCACCATGTTCTCGGCAAGCCCGATGAACTTGGCGTCCTCCAACAGGCCGCCAAACAGGCCTCGTCTGCCACTATAACCAAGTGTATGCGCCATCCCAGCGAGCGAGGCTCTGTGTGAATAAGCTTTTGTGGGAGAGCCCGACGGCACCTTCTCCTGACATGCTTCAGCGATGTCCGAGTTGAACAGACAGGTGTATAGAGGATCAGCAATAGACCTGATATCTTGTCATCGAGTCGTTGTCCCGATAGCGCACCTGGACTGCAACGCAATTAGGATCCGTGCTGGATCTGCCGAATCTGCCGCGCAGTCTCCTGGTATCAACCGCCACGGCAGAAAGTTGCGAGTCTACGCCGCTCAGCGAACAGAGTTGTTGCCCTTGACCGTGACATCGCTCGAAAACCCCACAGAGCTCCACGATGTTGTGAAAGGAGTTCAGCGTTCATTCGCAGGGTATCCTGCTGGTTGCAAACTCTTCCAGATGTGGCTTCTTCTCCACTGGTTCTCCATGGCTTCTGATGGAGCTTCGGGTGGACGTAGTGATAGGTAGTCAGTGCCATCTCCCCGTCAATGTACAAAGAAGGTGTTCGGCTTGAGCCGGCGCTGGTTCCGCGCGTTGTAGTTCTCCTCCTTCAGAAGCGACGCTGGGAATAGTCTTCCTCGAGCGCACTAGACTCACTTCCTCGGCCTGGAAGAGCGGAACTAACATGGGTCTCCTCGCTTTCTTTCAGGGTGGGTTTACCGCTAGTAGTTCCACTGAGCGTCATCGCCAATTAATTTGCAGTTTGTTGGCATCACCCACCAGCTGCTTCTCATCAGTAACCAATGACCTTCATGGCTGCATAGCGAAAGGCGCGGTTGTATATAGGCATCCACCTCGCCTGGCAGGAAGCTGTGCACACCGTGGTGCCTTGGAAAACGCCGTACAATGTCCTTGGAAAGACCAGCCCAACTTGCACAAACCTGTTGAAGCGGTGGAGCACGTCCTCCGGGCTTGCGTGGTATCTTCAAAGGGTTCTTTTGCAAAGTGCGCGTGGACAGCGCAATCCATACGGCCGCTCTTGAGATCTTAAGTTGGCTGCCCACGCTGCCCACAGCTCGTTCTTCGCCGGTACCCCTCGTGATCAAAGCCGCCTTTGCAACGCACGGTCCGCTTGTGCGACGCATCCTTTTTTGAACTTGGCTATATGTCAGTTTGTTCCCTCCAGTTTTGGCTTGGAGGCTCCGTACTGGGGTTCTCAAGCTTTTTGAAACTTGTTTCCTTTCTTTTTGGGGCTGCAAAAAGCAACATGGACGGGGGTATCAGCATGTTTGTTTGATATCTACGCCCTTGGGCCAGCCTGTGCGATATGCACTGGCAGCTTCTCTTTCCCTGCAAGTGCTACGGAGCGATGAAAACTGCTACTGAATCATGTTCCGCTTTGTCTACGTCGGCGCTTTGCCAAAGAGGCCAATGAAGCTTTCAGTAAGAGGGGGCAACTCAGGTTCCATATTGATTTGATCTGTGGGGGGACAGCGCGGACTCCGTGGAGTAGGTTTGCAAGCGACCGACCAAAATCTGACGCAGCTCAAAAATTCCGCAGGAACTGTTGTAACATTTATAGGCGTGGAAGCCAACAGTACCAGCGTCATCCACCATCCACGTGACAACAAGTATTAAATCAAGAGTAGAGCAGCGCACACTTTTTTTGAAAATGCAAGCACTCAATAGAAACAAGCGCTGCCCAAAAGCCTTGGGCCAACACAATGAAAAAGAATCCTGTGGCCTCAAAGTCACTAGTTTCTAGCCAGCCAGTTAAACTAACCCCATTTTGCCGTGCGAAGAGATTGGCCTGGCTGGCTAACACTGATTGGGGCGAGGACAAACAACATCTGCACAAGCAGCTGGCTCACTGCTGTCCATGTGGCATGAACGTCGCAAGGCCGCGCGTAGCCCTCAAAAGGAATGGGCTGGGTAGGGTTAGGCTGTATTCGAAGGTACGACCCTGCGCAAAATGTTTGGCGATCCACACAGAATCGCGTCTGATTGAAGGTATTACGCTATCCAGCACATATGCGGCGAGCTCCATCATCCTCCAATACTCTCTCCCACAAGGTATACTGCCGTCCGCGCGCCGATCGTCGGCTGGTTGTCTCCCCCCTTGTGCGTGTTCATCTTGATTTTTGGCACTCATATTTTTTTAAATCTCTTTTTCATGTTTCGATGTGTTTCGAACCTCATGAGTTCTCCGCGCGTTCCGAGCTCTACGGCCGTCGTTGGCATCGATTTGCAACGCGTACATCAGCTTACCTCGAGAACGATCGAAACCGAAAGCAACAAAGCATGTGTAATTCAAACGCACATCACATGCTTGGCTTGATTCGAAAACAATGCGATGCAATGCAATACTAGGAAATGTTTGAACGGATCTTTAAACTCATGTCGGAGAGGCTAAAGGGCATGGCTCTAGCAGGGCCATACCTAGCAAGAATCTCAAACGAAACGCTACTATACTCTAAGAAAACAAACGTCTTCTCCTTTGCCACTACAAAAAAGACTACAGCGCAACTTCTCCTTCGTGCACTTTGTGCGAACTTGAGACTTCGGCGTGAGAAGCAAACGATCCAGCTCAGCTGTCATAGGTGCCCCGCAAGCTGACACATGGAAAATGCAATGAATTTATATGGTATCACTTGCATGAATGAACTCTACTCAATGCGATGCAAAGCTTTCCTCACAATATAGCTTTGCAAACGCAACATCAGAAATTAAATCAGCGCCCTTTGCAATCCTACTGAAACTTATCAAACCTACATGCACAGCTTGCATATGCTTGCATAGTAGTCTTCAAAGTGTCTTTATTGGGCAAGAAACATCCTGCAGGTGGCCTTGCAAGGCTTCCTTGAACTGCTCTGAAGAGATGCGGCCCTTCTCCCACAAAGCAAAGACCTAAAGAAAACAGGAATTCCATCAATACCTGTGGGTGAAGAACACACCTTGAGCCTTGCGGATGTCCTCTGTCTTGGCTGCGAAAAACCTGCCCATTCGGTTGACGTCAACGATTCTCTTCATTTTGTCCTCCACGTTTGCTGTCGCGCCCGCTGCGACCCTTTGAAGCGCCATGGTCCAAAGCCTTGCAAACGGAAAGAAAGAGGACGCAATTTGATCGAAATACCTTATAAAGGCCCAACCCACCGTTTCATCTCTTTTTTTCGCAAGAACAGCGGCGCATTGAGCGGTGCATTTTGACGCAAACAAATTGTCCATGTGACCATGTGACGAAAGCATGTCTCCGCGTGCCCACAAGCGGATTGTTTCCACACCTCTGTGGGATAAATTGTTGTCTTCATACTGCCTGGCAATCATTCTCAAGTGCAACATCTACATTTTGCAATGCATTGCGCACGTACAGCGCAAGTTATGCAACTGATGTCTCTGTAGTCTGTAGTCGAATTCTTCAAATTACTCCCACATGTCACCGGCCGTCAATCTCAACACTCTAGGACACAAGTTTCTTCCCGCACTCCGTGTCAGGAAGACTTTGTTTAGCACGTGGTTGGTCTGGTGACAAAACGTAGTGCAACTCCTGCAGCGGTCAGAGTGACGAAGCAACGAAATGTAAGGGCATGCTGCGCTGCTGTTCTGCACACCTTCCCGTGCCCGACACAGTACACAGATGGTGATGGTAGTTGCCGTTTCACGCCTTCACCATTCGAACATACTTCACAACACCTTACAACAAGAACATGTCCGTACATTTATTTCACACTTTCTTTTCCTTGTTGGTTGGCGCACGGAGAGGGTAGGTCGTAAGAGTAGGATCAAGTAAACTACTGTCCCGGACTGAAAGGTAGAACCACGTCGGCTCGTACACAATGCTCCACCTCACACTTAGAACCACGTTCTCCACGAGGACAATCGCCCTTGTAGGATTTTGTCAGGTAAATATCAGCCAAATGGAGCGTCGCCCACCTACACTTAGAATGTGGGCTCGCCGCGAGAGATTTTTGGCCCAGGTTGGCCTGAATGGGGCAAGCCGTCCCTCGCGGGGCCATGAATGGTGAACATTTCAATTTTAGTGCGGCATTCTAAGTGTGTGCATGAATGTGTGTAGAAAAGTGAACGTTTGGGAAAAATAGCGGCTGAAAGATAGAATTTGACGTGGTTCTAACTCGTGTGGCCTAGACTCCTAGACGGGGTTCTAAGTGTACACCTTCTACGGACAGACGGTCCACACGTAGGGGTTCTATCTTTCAGTCCGGAACTATAGTAGCTGGGACACAGGAAAGTTAAGACTTCAAGAAAGCTGCCCCCGCACTCGCACTATTTATTTAGCTCCGAGATTGTTAGGGAAATTACATCATTTAAACATTCCTTTTCACAACACAGTGGAAGGATTCAAATCGACAAGGCTGCGTAAAGTGTGCGGAATGGGTCAAGGCGATAGATCTCTAGAGGCAAGAGAAGAAAAGGTTTGAGACGGTAGAGAAAGGCATCTACAAAAAACAAAGAAAATTAACCTTTCCACAGTAGAATGCAGAAAAACAAAGAAAACATGCAAAACAAACCGTAAACGCACGGAGAAAACCATGCAAGAACAAGAAAACCACATAACATTGGGGTTTGCAGTGCACAAAAGTAGAGGCTAGGCACACACCAGCGTCATAACATTTCATGTCACAAGTCATTCAAAATTACCACACCGTCCCACATTACAGCGCTCGACTACAAACCGATAATAAGCCGCGCTAGAAATGGCGCCCATCAAACGTTCATGAATCATCGCCGCTCATCGCTACCTTACACTTCACCACGCTACTGAACGGCAAGGTGCACCCTGCACAGTTCCGAACACCTAAAACAAACGGAAGCAAAGGACTTTAAAAGTACAGAAAAGTTACGAAGGGCGAAACACCAAACGAATTATAGGAACAATCAAAAAAGAATCCTGTGGAATTACCGGTGTACCTTGGGACGCGATTTTACAATGATAAAACGAAAGACTAACCTCAGAGGGCAGTCTGCCCCACTATAGAATCACATATCAACCTCCTGCAGTGCTGGAAACATGTTCTCTATAGAATGAGGCGCCTCAAGGTATTATTGTTGTTCATCATCGTGAAAAACTGAAAGCAAAAATTGGAAATCAATCATGGAAAGGTAAGGTGTGTATTGATTTTATAGAGAAGTGTGGGAAATATGAAAGGTGAAATTGATTTGAATACAATAGTGGCCCAAGAGGTTGGTTTTGATTCTATAGAGATATGTTTGGACACAGATGTTGGTCCATGTGTACAAAATGGTTTTATAGAGGGGTGATTGGACAATGAAACTCTAGAATTCCAACACTCAACGGAAATCGCGCAGAGGATGGTTGAATGACTCGGAATACAAATGCACTCTCACAGTGCACCGTCGCAGCAGCAGCATCTCTTTGGTTTACTCCAAAGGCTTTCTATACAATCAAACGTGAGCTCCTCTCAAAAATCTGGTGACATTTCATGCCCTCTCTAAAGAATGAACCTATTTTGTGAGAACAAACTGACGTTTTTAGACCCTATGTTTACTATGTTATGTTTTTTTCGGGTAGGTGGATCTTTCATTCTATATGAAATGTGGCTATAAAATCTGAGGGTCCTTTCGAGCTCAAGCTCTCCGACTTTATAGGGTCTATTCGGCAGGGGTTCAAAAGTCTAGAAACAAAAAGGACAATTGAAACTTCCTCTATTGAGATTGCTTGTATGGCAAACACATGGCGCACGCCTGTGCAGCACACCTGTGCCACGCACATGTGCACTATGTGGCCCATCGTGGGACGACGGGCAGGAACACCTTATGGATGAACATCAAATATAGGGAAGCGGCTAAAGAAACAAATGCGCCTCAAAGCGCAACCACGCAGCGGCCTTATAATGGACATAGCCGTCGTCTGTCACAGTGCAGTACTCAAGGATGTCGTCCACCTTTGAGCTTTGTCTCTCGGGTCGTGGGAGTACTTGGAGATAGGGGAGGTGAAGGAAAGCTAGCCAAAGCCAACGCCACAGCACCTACAATGCAACCAAAGAGCATGGGTTTAGTGCCACACAAGCTGATCCAAAGCAGGTCTACACAAGCAAATGTAGCTTGCTCTGCATTACCAAAACTTCACAAAGTTCCCCCCTGTCATTGCCAAGCGCGTGTATGTAAGTGCACATCTTGGATTCCAAGGTTACCTTTGGGTATTTCCTTTTCTTTTCTGTTTCAACAGCGCGCGCGGAGACTGATTTCCCATCCGTGCCAACAAAGCTACGGAAATCAGTTGGAGGAGAGTTGGGATGCCATGCAGTTGTGACGTTGAGTAGCCATGCCCCACTCTAGATTTGGCCGGCTATTTAGGTGACTCTGAGGTCTGCAGACTTGTGCGCGACGTCCATCGCTCTTCGACTCTTGAACTTTGGAGATGGCACGTTGGAGATTGAACCTTTGAATTTGCCGGTGAAACCTTGACAATGATCAGGCCAGTTTCCATACTTTCCCTTGACTTCTTCGGCTTCATACCTGGGTTAGCGCGCGGCAAACCGCAATCAATCAGCACGCATTTTCCAGCAGAGTGTCTGTGTCTGTGTGGACAGCTTGGAACCGGAGGTCACCTGTCGGTGTTCAAATGCAGGGCGCAGCGTGGAGTCCACAGTTCTGCTGCAGGTTCCTTGGTGCAGCTGTGGATACTTCGTAATACGGATTGAGACGCTAATCTGCGTACCTGCTTTAAGCATTTTTAAGCTCCCCTTTTTTATCCTTTAGAACCTACGTGTTGCCAAAGCTCTCTCCTTCTGTGTTTCTGCAGTAACGTGTGGTGTACTTACCTTTTTGAACCCCTCCAACCTAAGAGCGTTTGGACGAATCAAGTGCAGTTTGAGGTATGAAGTCTGGACCCTACATATTGCCAAAGCTGCCTCCTTCCGTGTTTCTGTAGCAACGTGCGGTTGTTCTTCTCCCTGATTTACTCAGGCAAGTTTCTGACTTAGGTTTCTTCAGGGCCTTGGGCGACCCGTTCAGTACGGATTTTCCCGAGTGTGTGTGTCCACCTCTGTAACTAAGAGTTTCTGTTTTTCTCAACTTTTAAGTCGCAGGGGGCGTGACGGTCGATTTCCTAGTCACGCCAACGAAGCTAGGGAAATCGACTGGATGGAAGTTTGGACGCAAACTTCTGTACCTGCGCAGGTGAAAGCTTTTGCACACGCTGTGACTCCCCACTTTTCCTTTTGTTGTTTCCATGGTGGTTGTTTGCATGATATCCCCCCCAAAAAGGTTTCCTTAGCTTTGGTAAAGTGCTAGTGCGTTTGTTAAACAGTTCTGTTCTTCGGACCCTTGCACCTTGCCGTTCTTGCAGTAAAGGGCTAATGCAGTAACTAGCTTCCGCAGTCAAGTGAACAACTCCTTTGTTAAAACACCTTCAAGTGCTCCGACTCTTTCACCTTTCGGTTCCATCGCCATTTTTCCTGGGAATTGAGTTAACTGCAAACCAATGTCAGAGTGTGTCACAGTATGTCTGCCTTTGTTTACTGCGTTGCTCCCTTCATCTTTCTCTTTTCCGATGTTTCTTTTTCATTTCCTTTCAAGTGATGTTCGTCAGCGCAAGAGCAAATAATAAGGCTCCTTAAAAGGGGGCCTATTCTTTTTTGCTCCCACACCGGTCAGTGAGTATTGGCGGCTTCCGAGCCTCAAGTCAACGTTTACCCCAAAAAGGAAAGTTCCAGAAGGCATATATTGCAGACGGGATATTCGCTGTAAACGGGACCTTATGGCAAAGCTCGCCCCAAAACGATCTTCCCTCTCTCTCTCTCTCTTTCTTCTGCGTCGTTTCATGAGACTTCATGGGACGGCATCCACCAATGCAAACATGTCGCGAACACAGTTGGAAGGAGCGCGCTGTCCAGTTGAACACAGCAGACACATTGCTGCATACAGCAAACGTTCCGCGCGCAGCATTTCTTCCATGCCTAGTAGTGGCGCAATTTCGGCAGTTTCAGTGCGCCATGGTGTTTACCGAAGATGTCGAGGAAGTGGGTCAAGCTGTGTCACCGTTGTGAAGTTAACAACACACAGTACTCTGGCGATGTCATTACGCAAAGACATCTAGCCATGTCTAGTCGGCTCTAGTCAGGGCGCTTGCGTGCATAGTACAGAACATGTGCCATGCGCTAGGTGTAACTGGCATTCCCTCCTGCAAAATTAGCGAAGATGTCTCAGTGACTGAAAAATCTGGAGCCTGTCTAAGGCCAGTTGCAAGCCGTTCTGCAAGAACCTCTTGTCAATCTTCTCTGCAAGCCTCTGGCTGGCCGTACTGCAAGCCAAGCGTGGCAAGGGCCTCTTCAGCTCTTAACTGCCATCTGCACAAGAACCGCACAAGAAGTTGTGGCTGACAGCGCGAACGCAAATGTCAACAAAGGACAAAAACCATCTGATCAGCCCTTTCTTCCGGGGGATACCTGTCCTGCAACAAAAAAGGGAAGCAAATTGAAATTCATTCAATGGGAAAACATTTGTTTGAAGAACAAGGGGCGGACAGAACGAAAGGACCTTGCAGGGAAAGCTAAACGACGGATGGCCCGAAACCATTTAGGTGTAGAGTTACTCTGGTGTCAGGTACGCGCGTGACGATGAAGCAGCGCAGTATAGAGTGTGATGAGACAGTAAAAGGGCAGATGAAACATTAGCTAAAAACTAGCGTGGCACTTGTTACTACTAGCGAACATTGTTACTACTAGTAGGGCTGAATCTGTGGATCCAGGCCCTGTTCCGATGTCCAACCCTGTATACTGTCGCCTCGGCAGTGTGTACGGTCTGACGGACACATTGCAACCTAAGCACAGTAACAAGGACAAAAATGGAGTCAACGTCCGCTTGCACGTGTTTTATCATACTTGTACACACGCGATTGATGCCACCGAAGCAATTAAACAAGATATGCGTTGGTTTGTGCGTAAAAGCAGTGGACATTGAGCGCTGCCAGAGTTGCCTGCGCCTGCTCTTCCAGTCAGAAAGTCTCGCGTTTCACAGCTGAAAATGGGGTTCTCCTGGAAGGCCAAATCTTCGTCGGCAAGAGCTCTTCACTGATTACTACTAGCGATGCACCTGTTCCTAGTAGCTTCTTGTTACTACTAGTAAGGCACCTGTTACTACTAGCGATGCACTCGAAGTGTCTTCACTGATTTTCCGCGTTTTCAACACAGATCACAGCGTCCAGCGGAGCTGAAACTGCGACACCCCCATAGAGCCTGCCGACGCCCAAGGCTACCTTGTCACCGTAGGCATCTTGTATGATCCCCTCTCCCTAATAATAAACGGGGCCCTCCCCCCCCCCCTATTAATAAAAACCCTGGGGTGTTTTTACTAATAGGGGGTGTTTATTATTGAGGGGCACCTGTTGTACCCCCAAATGGGCAATGTTCTGTTCGCCCTAATAAAAAGTAGGGTCTCGAAAGAAAATCCCTGGGTTCCCAATCTAATTAATTATATAAAATCCTTGTTAAAACGACCATCAAAAAAACAACAAAGGGTCAAATCGAAGGTCTTCCCCCTGTTGTTGGTTTCCTAGACCAACTGTTGATGCACCCAATTAATGAAAACACATCGCTGCAGAGGGACAGAGAGGGACAAAGAGGGACAGAGAGGGACAGAGAGGGAGAACCAGGGTCTCGCGGTCTCGCCGAAGAGAGAGAGGGAGAGAGGTATTTTTTGGGGAGGATTGGAGATGTTTTTAATATTAGGGGGAATTCGGGTTATTTTTGCTGTCCCCCCTAATACACCTAAAATCTGGGGCACCCCCGACTGTGGACCCACGAGTATTGAATTTCAAAGGGAGCAATTTCAAAACGCTACTAACAATTTTTTGGGGTCGGGCACATGTGTCTTTATTAATTGGGGTACGTTTATTAATAGTAACTCGGGATTATCAACTTGCAACTTGCCTTCATTGATTCGCGTCATCCATGAATGGAGGCTGCAATGATCTAAACAGCCACAGGGTCGCGAACTGCAGGTGTTGCGTAGGACATGCTGCGTAGTGAAACTCAGACAGTTGCTCGCGCTACGTACGAAACTCAGATATATCTGTTTGCTTCGCGTCTGCAAAACTGATGACAGGCCAAACGCGCAGACATATCTGAGTACTTCGCACCTCGAGAAAAAGAACCGGAATAAATGGACTCGCGGTGAAACGCAACTGAGACTCAGACGCATTCGTTTGTTTCGCTTCTCCCAACCTCTCCCAAACTGATGCAAGCCAGTCGATTTGCTTTGCCAGTCGAGTGCATCGCTAGTAGTAACAGGTGCCTTACTAGTAGTAACAAGAAGCTACTAGGAACAGGTGCATCGCTAGTAGTAACAAGTGCCTTACTTGTATAAATCTTATCAGACAGTCAAACCTTCCCCGGCGTCTCTAGCGCCAGGTCGGCAGCCTGCAGCCATGTTTTATCCATCACTCCGACAGCTTTGCGCTTGGTATGCGCTGCTAAGAGGTTGATCCTCTGTGGCACGCTTGAACATCCTCTCGCCGACAAGTCATATCACCATTCTCTTCTGCCATGACCTGCCCGACCTCAAGAGATGCACGTTCCGGTCTGCCATGTTGAGAATGTCGGCTTGTTTGAGGTGGCAAAAAGCTACGACACAGGAGGCTTTGGGCGCTTTGGCTTCGAGGGCAAAGACTTTCTTGCATTGCATCACGTAGACTCTTCCCCCAATCCGGACTTCTCTTAGCCTATATAGGCTCTGGCAAAAGAATGTTGTGCGGAAGCCTCGCTAAGCCGCTAAGGTAAAATGACAGAAAAGAAACAAGTCCTACACACCTCAATGACAACAGCCTTATCATGGCAATGGAAGCAAAGGTGGCAAGAGCAAGGACCAACAGTTCGCAGATAAGGCAGGCTGGAATTTCACGTTGCAAAGAAAACTGTCCTGCAACAAAGAGGGGAGGCAAGCTGAAATTCACTTGCGGGGAAAACATTTCTGTGAAAAACAAGGTGACGGAGAGAATACCAAGAGCCTAGCAGGGAAAACTAAGCTGGAATTCAGTCATGGGAAAAATTTATTGGAAGAACAAGGGACTCCATTCGACCGAATGCACCAAAAGCGGAGAAACACCACAGGTTACACAGGTTGACTGTAGCGGCGCCTTAGCAAAATTCGAAGAAGTGATGAGGCCACGATGGTAAGTGTCCACCTTGCAGGGACAAAACGTCAAACTCTCTCGACAAGTCTCTGACAGCCTCCATTCAACTCCATTCAATCCGTTGTGGTCTTAACAATGCAACTGTTTTTGATCTCATGTTTCAACCAATGCAACTGTCTGCTCCACGCAATGACCTTCTGAAATTCATGGCAGGCAGCTTGCAGTAGCGCTCGAGCTTGCTCAACACCCGTTTCAGGAGCGGCGTTCCTGATGACAAAACACATGTATTGGAAATGCAAACATTGTGTGAAAACGTGTCTGGAAACTGGTTCATTGAATCAACAATAATATCTTCCTGCCCTCTACCTCTCGCATCAACCGTCATGTGACGTGAGGTCCTGCCATTTGGCATGGTTGCCGACCGCGATTAAGTCATTCAGCAAATAATGCCCCTGAATATGGGGTTAATATAGTGGAACATAAAGCCTTGCTTACCAACAAAATTGTTGACACATTGACACTTCCGTTTGCAAAATCATTTGGACTTAAAAGTCACCATGTGGCGCCAACTTCACATTTGGGTTCACTGAATTTTCGAAATGTCTGCAATGGTTGTGCCCGAATGCTAGTCTGCATCTGTATGCTATCAAGCACATGGACACCTGAACCTTCCAAATTGCGCGTCTCGGCTCGACACTCCAGCTGCAACATGACGCGCGCGCGTGTAAAATCATGAAAGACCCTCAAAACTAGAACTTGCGCGCGGCGATGTGTGACTTCCCTTCTGCCTTTTATCGCCTTCGCATGTCTTCGCTGTGCCTGTGGAGGCTTTGCTCCATAACGGCTTCAAGCTTTGGCGCGCCGCGGCGCAAAGCTGCTGAAGCACCAAAAGTTTTTTGAAGGAAAAGCAGCCAAACAACAGTCAAATGAACAAACAAAAGAACAGGGTACCCGGTATCCATAAAAACAGGCGTGGCGACTCAAGAAGACCCCGCTTTGAAGATGTTCGTGTAATTGCGGCCAAAAAACTCATCTTACAATCCTCCACCCCACTGTGTCCCTATGGGGGGCGCGTGGGGAGAGCTTATTTTTCGATGTTCACAAGTGGCACTGGGTAATCATCTGTACGGATCAATGCAATCATTCGTTTGGCTACGATGAACAAAACAAACCTTCTCACACTGTATGTTCTTAGGCGTCAGGTCTCTGACGCACTGCGAGGCGAAAAATTTGCGCTAAACTTGGCTAGCTCATCTGGTAAGACCCGGGAACGTGGAACGAACAGGACTTTGTTTTTCACGCTCCAAGCCCTACTTCTTCTCCATTATGGTCTCCTCCGACCATGACTCTGTCAAGCGCACCCGAAGCAATGACCATCGCTGAACATTGCAAGGTGCTGGCAGAAGGCCAGCCGACACAAGCAATGCCTGCGTCAAGGGCTTTGTGTATGAGCTGTGCACTTAAGTCAGTCTGTCAAAGAGTCAAGGGGTGGACTTGTGGAGGTGGCAGATTCAGCTGACCACAAGGAACAAGAACCTGTGCAAAACGTGGTGAACAATCAGGCGCGAGTGATGGGTAATTTTGGCTTTCCGCGTGCGATTTGGCCGCCAACGTTGCAAGCCGGCTGCGCAAAGATAGGGGACACCTTGAGCAAGTTCTGCTTGAAACAAAGGCCCTCTTGCCCACCTCACCTGTCACACTTGCAAGCAAGTGTGGTGAGCATGTCATCCATGTGCTGGCGTTGCCTGAGGAAGGAAAAGACAAGAGCTGGAAGATTCAGGATCTCTTCGTGTCTTGAAGCGCCACTTCTGTATCCCAAGCTGCTGTAGCAACATGCTTGGATGTGCAGCTGCGTATGCGTTTTCTGCGCTTTCGGGCCCCCGTAGTCCAGGATACGGTCCCCACTTGGTGTGGCTTGGCGTGGCTGGAGCACTCCACACCCCCTCGTGCGAAAGGCTTTTGCTGCAGTTTGCCACCAGCAGCAAACCAAACCTCCAGCATCGCATCAAACTCTCGTTCAACACCCGCCAAGCCCACATGTCGAGTCACATTTGGGTCAAACAAATCTGCAGAAAACGTACGTTACCAGCTGTGCCGGTAGTTGGATAGTCGGTCCATTAAACAAGCACGCAGGTGCAAGTGGCAAATAGAGGCCAGGAATGTGCTACAGCGAGGCAGTGCGAGTTCCGCCCTCAGCTTCCTGCAAACCATATCGAACCCAGCGGGGGGGAGCGGTCGGATTCAGAAAATAACATAAATATGCATGTGGCACGGCTTGGTTTCTGGTCATATGCTTTTAAGCCCCTACATGCGTTCTTTTCAGAAATGACACGTCTCAAGCGTCTACATGTTTGAAAGCATTGGCAACTGGGCCCATCAGCCCGTTATGGTACGAACCCTTTGGGCTCAACATATCGCTAGCCCACTAGCGCCGGTCACCATGGACAAGCTCCTGAAAAGCGGGATGAGCAAAATTCAGAAAGTCTAATTTTGCAGCAAATTGCTGAAGTTCGGATTGCCAAGTTCATCAGAATCCGTGGATTCGATAGATCCGGGCACCTTGATGCTATTGGGCGCGTTGCTGTCATGACCTCTTTTGTTGTCATTCCAGTCGAGGCCTCATATGCGCCACTTCCAGAATAGGAGCCATTTTTGGCCAAAATTTATGTTTCATAGCATTCTCGGTTGTTTTCTTCAATTTGGAAGACCATCAAACTCGGTTGCTTTCCTTTTCCAGGTTGTTAACCAAAGCTTACATGATTCCCCTCCAGAGCTCAAACAACCTCTGGAGCACAGAAAATCTATTTTGCCATTAGGGTCCAACAAAGAAACGCGATCCCTGAGCATGCCAAGACAGGTGATTGAGCAAGCAAACAGTACACTTATCCAGCCAGCAGCTTCTTGTAGCTCATGTAGTTTCCTAGCTGTTTTGCACCATAATATTCGGGAATTTATTTTTGGCACCAGTCGGCGATTTTCCCGAAGAAACACTGTCGTGCTCAAATCTAGTCAATCTAGTCTCAAAATTTCCCTTCCCGGGGCCTTTACAAGCAGAATAGGAAAGCAACCTAGAAAACCAAAAGGGGAATCATGAAAGCTTTCTTCGGTCTTCTAGGTAATATTCTGCAAGAATAGGACCTGGAGTAGCTAAGAA